CCCCGTGAGGACCCGGGGAGGAGACGGCCGTCTGCACGGCCAGGAGACTGCCCCCCCTCCCCGCCACGTCCGGATCTGGGGCGTCCAGCCTCCAGCGCCAGGAAGAATGGATGTGTGCTGTTTAGGCCCCAGTCTCCAGAGCTTTGTTAAGGCAGCTGGGTTGGGGGGAGATGCCTGGGTGGCTCAGATGGTTAAGTGTCTGCCTTCGGCTCAGGTCATGATCCCGGGGTCCTGGGATCGAGCCCCCACATCGGGCTCCCTGCTCTGCGAGGAGCCTGCTTCTCTCTCTCCCATGCCCTCTGCTTGTGCTCTCTCTCTCTCTCAAATAAATAAATCTTTAAAAATAAATAAACAAAGGCTAGCTGGGAAACTAACACAAGAGGCTCGAGCTCCTTTCAGGTTTCTCGAGACAGATCACTGAACTGAACCCCTCGGGGAGCCGTTTCTGTGATCGGCACAAGGACACATCACCCCGTGTGATGGAAAAATACGTCTTCCTGGCTACAACCCGCATCGTCCTCCTTCCATCTGATAACGTGGTGGAAAGTGCAGCGTGTACAAAAATGAATCGTAAACACAGGAAGCATAAATCAAACAATCTTCCAACCCTAAAAATACTCTGGGGTAGGAAAGCACAAAGGTGCAGGAAGGGGGCGGTGGCACTGAGGTGAGTGTCTCCCGTGAAACCAGCTGGGCGATCTTCTCAGCCAGCTTTTCTAGTGGAAACAGAAACCCGCAGACGGTGCATGGGCACCGCACAAAGCGTTCACCCCGAGCCCCACAGCCACGGGACGCCTGAGCGCTAGCACTGTCCTGTTCCACCGCCACTCACGCACGGTGGCTTCCGCCTGCACCGCCCAGGGCCCCTGGAGCTGCTGTCCCCACTCACCCGGGAGGCCGGGGCCCCAGAAGCCGGCTCACGAGGCGGCCTGTGGTGGAGACGCGGCCCACCAGGCTGCAGGCCCGTGGCCCGAGCCAGGGACTCTTGCCTCAGGCGTGGGCTGGGACCGTAAGGTGGGGACAGTGGTGGCGTGCTGGGCTCGGGGGCCACCCCCACCAACATACAGCGTGACCGGCTCTGGAGAGAATGGACAAGTCGCAGGCCCTGCACTGAGGGCCTGGCATTCTCAAGAGAAGCTCACAGGGGCGTCTATAGATGACAGATCGCAGGACAGCCAAAAGGGGGCAGCACGGACACCCCACATCTGCTGGGGGGCCCTGGGGAAAGGGACATCGGGTCACTTGCAGAACGTGACAGATAGCACAGCCTCTCTGGGGATCAAGGGGGCTGGCAACCCTCGGACCCCTCTCCCCGGGGAGGACACTGGGCCACCAGAGAGCACCGCCATGCTCAGACGGGTGACATGGTGTGGGGCCCGGCTCTGGGGACTCGCAGCGGCAGCCCTGGGTGGAGGACACGCGGGTGGGAGGCTGCACCGGGCGGTGGGGGTCAGGACACATTCGGGCGCAGAATCTCCATCACTGATGGCATGTGGGGCAGACAGCAACTGCACACTCAGCATCTGGGGGAGCTGGGGGGTCCCAGAAACCAGCACGGTGGACGCTGGAGGGCTGGCAGACACGGGGGGGGACCTGGAGCCCAGGCACGCGCACAAGTGAGCCGGGGCAGCTTGGACCTGCAGGGGAGAAGGGGAGTGGGAGGTGTGCTGACAGGTGAGAGCCAGGGGTCAGCAGCTCAGCCGGCTGCAGGCAAGGGGCCCGCCAGGCTCTGAGGGACGGCCAGGAGCACAGAAGGCTGCAAGCCGGAGGCCAGGGGAAGAGAAGCCTCTGGCAAAGACAGGGGCACCTGCCAGGGTAGGGTCTCTGGGTGGTGGCCAGAGGCCAGGGGGACGGGAGGGAGGAGACCCAGAGAAATCTGGAAGGCCAGGCAGGCGGGAGACCCCGCACCAGCACAGCCTCGTCCCCTCCCCATCTGTTCCATCTGCGTGCCAGGCCCCGAGGTGAAGCACGGAGGGGCGAAAGGAACCCCGGACAGGCCCCCATGCTCCTGGGGTTGGCCCGCCCCACCCCCGTCCTCCCACCTCCTAACACTCGTGTCTGGCCCCCACGAGTCCCCAGAGTAGGGTTCTCGCTGCCATTCGTCCCTTGTTCCCTGTGACCGTGGGCCTGACCCCCAGTGACATGGTGTGTGGGCCATGCGGCACAGAGCCTCAAGGACCCATGAGATCCCGTGGCCCATTGTCAGCCGCAGAGCCCACTCCGGACCATCCCGGCTCCCCGCCCAGCCAGGCCTCCTCGCCACGGGGACCCAGGGGCCCCACGCCTCCTTCTGCACCTCACACACCTCATGAGTGCGAGCTGGGAATGAAATTTCCCGAGAAGGGCCATCGGATCACCCTTTCGGACTCCCTGCCATAGCAAAGGAGGCCCCGGGAAGAGCCAGATGCCACACAGAGTCCCCTCCCCGCCGCTCGACCAAATCCAATTCTAGGTAGACCTGAGAACCACGTGGGCCACGTACACACGGTGACAGGCACCCTTCCTTCAGCTCAGGGCCCAGAGGCATCCTCTGCGTCTGAACACAGCACGGGCAACAGCGTCCCAAACACACAGGATGGCTTCCGGCTGGAGGGGCAGCGTGTCCGCAAGCTCACTGAGTGCCCAGGGCTGGCTCCCGGCCCCAGCACGCGGGCGCGGAATCCAAGGGCCTCCCGCCCCCCCACCTCCCCTCCAGGACCCGCCACCCAGCTCCTGAGGGCCACACCGGGCCCCCTCCGAATGCCGCCACACTACCTGCTCAGACCACAGAGCAGCTGACCTGCTCCAGACGTCTCCTCAGACCTCAAGGGGTGGGGCAGACAGACAGGAAGGCACTCAGGCTGGGGCTTGCAGGGGAGCGGGGCTTCCAGGGGGGAGGCCAAGGCCCCACCCGCACTCACCAGTGGCCTCACCCCGCACCAGCTCACCTAATCCCCCCTAACCCCGTGGAGGTCCTCACTTAGCAGAAGGGGAGGCTTCAAGCTCACAGAGGCAGAGTGATCTCTGAGGCCACCCAGACCCTGCAGGCTGCAGACCTGGCAGGCACCTGGATGCGGGGCTCAGGGCCAGTCCCCAGGGAGCACGGCCATGCCCCATGTGCTACCACTCACGCACACCTTCAGGCCGCGCGGCTTTCCACCAGGGCCAAATCCTGGCCCCTCCACCCGCCCCCGCTCCTCAGGCTCATGCTCCTACAGGGCGACCTCTGGGGTAAGCAGTGTGGTCCCAGGACCCTGAAAAGAGCGTCAGGAACACCAGCTTTCCCACAAGAGAACCACAGCATCCGAGCCTGCACAATCTGGCTTCGACCTCCCAGGACAATGAACCGCCCCCAGGACGTCTGAGCGCCCCCAGCAAGCCTCTGGCGCCTCGAGGCCAGGGGACGGTTGTGCTCCCAGCCCAGTGCCTGCACCCCCTCACAAGTCCCTTCCGCCTGAAGCCGCCCGCCTGCCCGCCTCACCCAGCCTGGCCCATCCTGGGATCCCTCTCCCACAGCAGGTCCGCCGCCCCCACCAGGCTCCTCTGGGACAAAGATGTCACCCTGCCCCGACCTTCCTTCCTGTGCTAGGGCCCCACACAGAGACCCAGAAAGCTCAAAACATTCAAAACAGGACAGTTGCGTAAGTAAATTCCCGGTACGGAAGGAAGGAGGGAGGGGAGGAGGGAGGAGGAGGGGTGAGGGCCCCAGGCCACTGGACTGGCCGCCCCACTGCCTCACAAAGACCCTGCAGCCAGCAGCCCACAATCGGGGGGTGGGGGAGGCTCCCCCATGCTTGAGAGTCACCTTCCACATCTCGGGGCTTTGGCCACCTCCCTGGGGTCCTCACAACAGGGAGCAGCCATCCTAGGGACGCAGACTCCAGAGGCGGGTGCACGTCCTATCAGCATCCCCGCTAGCCTCTCGTGGCCTCTCTGGGTCCCCTGGCCTCCTTGAAAGCTGGAATACTAGACCCAGTGCATGGAGCTGTCCAGCATACAGCAGGTGCCCAATAATGGCTCAGCCTGTTGGCCAATCATCGAGTCCTGGGAGACGCGCCCAGGGGCCACCTGGGCAGAATGCAGAGACACACCCTCCCCCTCCCCTCGGTCTTCTGACCAAAGGGAGGAGGCTGGGAGCTGCTCTGCAGAACATCCTAGAAGAGAAAGCTTTCTCCTTGGGGACACAGTGAGCAAATGGGCTGAAGAAATTCATCCGCCACCCCACATACACCTCAGCTCTGCCACCCGTGGCCTGAGGACACCATGCCCTTCATCTCTAGGTCCTCAGGGACGAGGGACATGCTGTTTGTGAAATGCACCTGCAGAGCCCTCTCACGGGGACAGTGGGCTTCCCCACTGTGGGCTGAACACAGAGGTGTGACAACTACACCCAGACACCAACTCTCATGACCCCATTGACGTGCCTTTCATGAGAATTCGGGATGCGCCGACCACTGAGAAAGGATGTTGAAATCCAAATGTTTAGGGGAATAAGAATCTTCATCTACATCTTGTCACAGGTCCCCCCAGGCCCTGGAAACACTACAGGGAATTACTTCTACGCATGTGGGAAGGCACAGGGGCCTCAAGGCTTCCCCTGTGCCAAATTCCACTAAATTATGTTAGATGTACAATTTTTTTCTATATTCAAGACAGAAAAAGGGAAAAACATAATAGCTCATCTCATCCAAGAAGCAGAACCCCCTGGAATTGAAATTACCTAGAGAAATCACCGTGGAGGTCATTCACCAAGCCATGATACACCAGCTGGATTTCACACGGGGGGCCACTAAGGACACGTGAGATCGCACGTATGGTTGGCGAACGGGGACCCTCAGAAGCGCAGGGGCCGAGCTAGGACTCACGTTTCGGAGAGCACACAGCGAGTGGCCCTCTTGATTCCTTCTGCCCCTTCTAGTAAAATGGCTTTCTCAGAAAATAAGCCAAATGCCCTACGATCAAGGCCACCTGCCATGCTTCCCACGGGCTTCACCAAGGATGAGGGACAGGTGCACACTCACCATGATGTCCCCTTTCAGCAGCTGGGCAGGTTCGATGGCGATGTAGATCCTGCTCTGGGTTTCCGGGCCGACGTTGCTTTGGGACACACAAGAAGGTAGAGCGTGATGCAATTTCATGATTTAACGGAAAGAACCCCTTTTGAGAAAAGCGACTGCACAGCTCAAACTTGGAGAGGACACAAAATATCCCGCGTGGCTCAGGAATGCACCTCCCGGGGGTCCGTCCAGCGTGCAGAGCGTGCACATCTGTAAATAGCTGACCGCGTGACTGCAAAGGTACCACCCGCGTGCAGGTCTGCCGTGAGTCCAGACACGTCACAACAGCTCATTCCGATCTTACTACTCACTCACGTTCTATTAATGTCCGCAAAACACTGACACAAGCAGACAAGAAAGCAAACCAGGAAAGCCCAGAAACTCGTAAAAATTCTGAGGGCAAGTGTCTGCCCGTGGCTGAAGCTCTGGTGTGCGGGCCTCCTCTCCCTCCAGGCTCCGCATGCACACCCCTTCCTGGAGCCAACCGTGCACCTGCCACCTGCCGGGCACTCCCCGCTCGACGCCCCGACCCCTTCCCGTGGGACAGGCGGCTCAGGGAGGTGCATTTCCAGTGAGCACAGCACTTACTAGATCCCGGACGTATACACGGGCTGCATGGCTTGGTAGAGCTTCAGAAAGGGCCGGCACACTGAAAGAGAGAGTTGTCCATGAGACGCAGGACCGGACAGACAGATGGGAGTTTGACAAACAGCAAGAAAGAGGCGTCCTGGGGCAAGGTGACCCCCGTGCTGCGTCCGCGCTTTGGGGAAGCAGCAATGGAGTTGGTCCGCAGAGTAAGGGATGGTGGGGCTCCGGGCGAAAGGTCCTGCTGCCCCTCCCTGGGCCCCCGCACATGGGGACCAGGATGCTTGGATGGGGAAGGGAGGGAAGGCAGGCCCGTAAAGCACAGGGTCCAGGACAGGCCAGCACGTCTGGAGACACGGTTGCGCATGGACACTCACCTCCACCCGTGTCGAAGTTGGGAGTGCCATGCAGGATGACAAAATGCAGGAACAGTGGCGAGGCATTCATCTTAACCATCCCCGACAGGAGCCCGCTGAGAAACTGCACGTACCTGCAACGGACAGCGGCTCAGGGCTCCCACAGGCGCCCCCACGGCTCCGAGCCCACGCGGGCCTGCCCGCACACAGAGGCCAGAGCCTGCTACCCCGGGGTGCTGAGAGGGGACCCAGCCCCACTGCCCACAGCCAGGGGTGTCTCGACCTCCACATCTGATCCTGGAGAGCACAGCCCAGGCACGCGACCCTGTGGGGTTCCCTGGACACCCCCCATGGAAGGTGGCCCAGCGCCCAGTGCAGAACCACGGGTCCTATGCTGGCTCTGCTCCCACACCGCAGGCAGCCCCTCTGCCCCCAACCCAGAGCCACGCGGTGTCAGGCCACGGGGCTGTCATGGTCCGCCTCTCCCGTAAGCACCTCACCCCGCTAAAGGCAGGGGGGTCACTCTGCCCTCACCTCCCACCCCATGGGGAGACCCCGGGCGGGCTCTGTGCCACTCATGGCCGGGGGCCTATCGCCAAGCAGACATGGGTTTTGTGACGTGGTAAAGGTCACCCTGAGGCTTATAATCAGCATGCCTGTGACCAGAAAGTTCATTAAAGAAAAACTAACCCCATCCCCCTCCCGACTGCAGCACTCCTAAGAGATGGACGCATGACAAAGGTCATTCGTGTATCTATTTCTATAAAGCACGTGGACAGAATGGAGACTGCACCCTTGTCCCCTCCCTCCAGCTATGACGGTCATGTCCACGGCTAAACCTTTACGTCGATAAGCCCAAGCTCAGCACAGGACCCGTGGCTCTGCATGCCTGGCCAGGGGCCTGCTCACCCCCAGCCCGGGACGCTGACCCAGAGGCAGCATGTCACACCCCCCTTACAGTCTCCAGGGCCTACAGGCAGCTAGCTGATGATCAGCAAACCCCAAACAGAGCGCTGAGCAGACAGCAGCCGCCCCCTTACCACATGCCTGCATGCTGCTCAGTCCGTGCACGCCGCCGGCCCCGCGGGTGCATCGCAGCGTGCTAGGGACACTGGATGCACAACCCACATATCTCTCCTCTCTACGCCCCCGATTTTACCCCAGTGTGCATGTCAGGGAGGAGTAAGAAGACGTTTCACAGTGAAACACACACTGAACGTTTATGAATCGTCCACTGGAGCAGGCTTGTCCTACTGTCCGCAAAAGCAGTCAGCACGCACGCAGATGCCTTCTCAGAACACGCACATCCTCTGCAAGCCGATGTGGCAGCTGTGGCCGGAGCCCGCAGCCGAGTTAGTGGAGGTGGGACACGGAGGACCAGTAACCAGGCCACGTGTGTTCGTGGCCACCGGGAAGCGCCCGTCGCACCCAAGAAAAGAAAATCAGTTCCCAGGTGAAGACAGGAGGAACAAAAGAAAATGAAAGGCTTGCGCCATCAGTTCATCCAGCCCACTGGGAACACGGGGTTCACCTGCAGCGAAGGGGGTGGGAACCTGAGAGTTCCCGTAGCACACAGCGTAGGTACCCTGTTCCAAACAGCTCCTCGGCCTCCCACCCTCTCCTCTTTCTTTGGAGGAAAGGAACTCCCTTTGATGAGTTTTCCACGCCTCATCTCAACTAGCAAGAAGGTGCAGGAACTGCGCGTGTCCGGGCGGGGGACTGACTGCACAGCACGTGCGTCACTCCCGTGCCAGCAACGCGTTCCTTACCACCAGTGACGAGAGCCGACATTTATAGTTGGAATTTCCTCGAATCTCCCTAAACACATGATCTGCACCTGACACCGCTCAGCTCTCCCTGAACACGTGCGCACGTGCGCGTATCAAAGCTAGCATGACCACGTCACGTGGCTCAACAGAAGGAGCCACTGTAAGGGCACATCTTTTCCTAAGCCCTCCTATCTTCACCACCACGGTGCTCACAGGGGCCATACGGATGGTGGGGAGACGCGGGCTGGGACCCAAGCTTGCCGGTTACCTAGTGTTGCTCCCCAGAGCTCTCGTCCCTGGCTATGGCAGGAGGCCCAGCGGGAGGGCCACCCTGGCTCCAAGCTTGAGAAACCCGTGGGCCGCAGTAGGCATGCTCCCCAAAGAGAGATGACAGGTGCCTGCCCGCTTGTATCTGCCCTGTCTGTCGTGCACGTGCTCTTTCAGACACACAAGGTGTCATGTCAAAAGCCAAATAAAGCTATACTGGGAAATGTCCAGCTATCAGACACACCCAGGAATCCTAGTTTCTGCAGGCCCACACCTTTTACCAGGCGGGGTCGGACACAGGAATGACCCCACCGGGGGCCTCCTCAGGATCCCCTCTGCCCCGTAGCCCTGGGAAGGTCAGCTTGTAAGCCCTGTACTAAATAAGTGAAGGCTTGGAGGAGGCTTGCTGTTGAGGCCCCAAGCCTCCCAGGCCACAAACCCCCAGCAGGCTAATTTATCCATTCATTCTTGCCACGAGACCCATTTAAAATGGGTTTCTTGAGCTCAGTTCCTCGGGGTAGCAGGGACCACAGGGAGGGTTCCCATCACAGCATTTATCCCACAAATGTAGGCCATCCTGGGCTCCTCTGGACTCAAAGCGCCTCCAGGCGTATCATATGCACTGACTCAGTCATCCACCTACTCGATAATGGCTTGTGAGCATCTCCCATTGCAGGAGCTGGGTGGACAGCATTCCTGTCATCTGCGGGTGCAGAGAGATTTGCCAAGGAAAGCAGAATAGAACCCACACCATTGTTACACAATGTAAATTCTATAGCTTCCGGTGCGCACGGACAGGAAGGGCGCGTGAAAGCCGTGGGCTTGCTAAGGTGAAAAAATGCTTTTCCGTGTTCTATGCTCTTGCACTGCTATTACAAGGCTCTAGTCACTCATAACATAGCAAAAAGAAAATAAGGCAAACATTCTTCCCTGGTGGGTGCTGAGCCTTTTGAGTGGATGGAAAGAATAAAAATCATGATGGTCTCAATAGACACAGAAAAACAGTGGACAAAATACAACATCCATTGAGGATAAAAAGTCACAACAAAGTGGGTATAGAAGGAACACCCCTCCACATAATAAAGGCCGTGCATGACAAACCCACAGCTAACATCATACTCAATGGTGAAAAACTGAAAACTTTTCCTCTAAGATCAGGAAAAAGACAAGGATGACTGCTCTTACTACTTTTAATCAACATAGTGTTGAAGTCCCAGCCACAGCAATCAGACAAGAAAAAGAAATGAAAAGCATCCAAATCAGAAAGAAAGATTTCAAACTGTTACAGTTTGCAAATGACATGATATTATACAGGGAAAACCCTAAAGACTCCCCTCAAAAATTGTTGGAATAAATGAAATTAGTAAAGTCACAGGATATAAAATCAATATACGTGAATCTGTTGCATTTCTATATAATAATGCACTACCCAAAAAAGAAACGAAGAAACAATCCATTTACAATAGCGTCGAGAAGAGTGAAATATCTAAGAATAAATTTAACCAAGAAGGTGAAAGACCTGTGACTGAAACCTATAAGACATTACAGAAAAAACTGAAGAAGACACAAACGGGAAAATGCTCCATCCTCATGGATGGGAAGAATTAATACTGTTAACATCAATCTATAGATTCAGTGCAATGCATATCAATATTCCAATGGCATTTTTCACAAAAACAGAAAGAAAACCTTAAAATTTGTATGGAACAGGGGAGCCTGGGTGGCTCAGTGGGTTAAGGGTCCTACTCTTGATTTCAGCTCAGGTCATGATCTTAGGGTCACGGGATAGAGCCCCGCATCGGGCTCCACACTCAGCAGGGAATCTGATTGAGATTCTCTCCCTCCCACTGCCTCTGCCCCTCCTAAAATAATTAAGTAACTCTGTAAAAGAAATGGGCGGAAGATCTGAATAGACATTTTTCAAAAAAAAAGACATCCAGATGGCCAAGAGACACATGAAAAGATGCTCAGCATCACTCATCATCAGGGAAATGTAAATCAAAACCACAATGAGGTATCACCTCACACCTGTCAGGATGGCTAAAATCAACACGGGAAACAACAGGTGTTGGCGAGGATGCGGAGAATTTGGACCCCTCGTGCCCTGTTGTGGGAATGCCAACCGGTGCAGCCACTGTGGACACCAGTATGGAGGGTCCTCAACAAGCTAAACATAGAAATACCATATGGTCCAGTAATCCCACTACTGGGTTATTTACCTGATGAAACAAAAACACTTACTTGAAAAGACAATCTGCACCCCGTGTTCACTGCGGCGATACTGACCATAGCCCAGATATGGAGGCAACCCAAGCACCCACCCATGGACGGATGGATGGATGGACAGATGGATGGATGGATGGATGAAGGTGTGGTGTTATATATATCACAGAATATGAATCAGCTATAAAGAGAGGATGAAATCCTGCCATCTGCAACAACATGGACGGACCTCGAAGGTACTACGCATAGCAAAATAAATCAGACAGAAAAAGACACTTATGTGTGGAATCTAAAAAACAGAACGATGAACAAACAAATAAGGTCAAGAGCTCACAGATGCAGAGAACAGAGGGGTGGTTGCCAGAGGCAGGGGCTGCTGGATGGGCAAAGGGAGGGGAGGAAGGTGGGGGGAGGAGGACAGGGAGCAGGGGGAGGGGAGGAGGGGTGAGGGGAAGGAGGGAGAGGGGGCGGGTCTGACCGCAAACAGGCCCAGACACTGGGAACTCCTGGGACAAAGGGAGGAGGTGCCCCTTGCACCTGGAAATCCCTTTCCCAGATGGAAATATCGAGGCCCAGCTCCTGACCAAAACACGCCCGTGACCGGCCTCCTGGATGTGGAAGCCTCCATCTCCCCTCCATCTCAGCCACGCCCGCGGGCACCCGGGGGAGCAGACGGGAGGGTCAGGCACACAAGATGGGAAAGCATCCAGGCAACCGTCGTGGCAATCCGTGGCCAATTCCTCGCTGTTCGCTTTAACATAAAAGTGCGCTGACTACATGCTTGGCTCCATGTCACCATGCGCAAAGAGCTGGGTCTGGGAGGAGGGCGGCTAGGGCCTTCCTCAGCCGGGCCCGGAGGGTGCGTGGGCTCACCTGGGGGCGCACGGCAGGAGGAAGTCTGCTCCCCAGGGCCCTTCGCAGCACTGACTGAGCATCTCCCAGGGGCCAAGCCGAGCTCCAGAGAGGGGGTGGTGGGTGGGCCAGGGAGGCCAATGTGAGGAAAGGGCCCGGACCTCAGGGGCTGACAGCCTAGCGCAGGAGTCGGCCAAACACAAACCTGCCCATGAGGCCACGTTCACTCTCGTGGGTCCGCCACCACCGTGACAGAGACCACGTGGCCTGCGAGGCCCAGACCAGCCACTCGCCAGCCCATTACAGACACGGTTCGCCGACCCCCGGTCCAGCAGACAGAACCCAGTTCCAACATCATGGTACGAATCCATACCTGCCCTGAGCATGGAGGACCCAACGTGGAGCGTGGAGCACGTGCGGGACTCCTGGGTCCGCCCCTCAGAGTCGGCCAGGGCCAGGAGCTCCCATGCCACCCACATGCACGGTGGCTCTTCTTCGCTGCTAGATACCCACCAGCTGTCCCCGCCTCCTCTTGGCTGGTCAGGGGAGATGTCCCTCTTGTCCCCACTTTCTGAAATGTAAATCTCACTCTCCCGTTCGCTCTGGCTCGGGGACACATACATACCGTTTCTGGGAAGGCTGCATTAAAGCTGAAACTTTATCATCGTAGAACTTCTTCATCGCAAACCTGTCGAGGGCCTGGTCGGCACTGGGAAAGGAGAGAGAGACGCAGCATTCAGCGTGGACGCCGCGGGTGGCGGGGTGACGGGGACAGGGGCTATGGCCCGCAGGCCTGGAACGCCGTCCAACACAGCAGCAGCCTCTCTCCAGGTGGCACGGCTCCCAGGAGAGCCACCTGCCGGCTCCTTCCCATAGGCGGGCACGGGGCTGGCATCCTGAACTGTCCCATTGCCACACTGGCCCCATGGCAGCAGGGAAGCAGCAGAGGGCTCTGCGTGAGTGAGGGGATCCCGAGGGTTTGGGGCACACCCGGAGCACCGCAGTCAGTGACAGCCAGCAAGCCCCCGGGAGCGAGCTCGGGACCCGCAGGGAGTCACGACTCTCAGCAGGCCTGAGGCGGTCAAACGGCGGCGGCCAATGAGGGTGGCGAGCTTCCAAGCCCTCACGGCTGCACATCGTCGTCCTCAAGTCCCAGCCACAGGCAACCCTGCTCCCCAACAACCCAACGCCCACGAGCAGAGCGCACTCGGCAGGATCCCCAGGAGACCCAGTAGCCGGGCATTCACAGGTCTGCCTGATCTGACTTCAGATACATCGTGGGACATGAGTGCAAGAGGTCACAGCAACTGAGTCTTATTTGAGCCCAAAGCTTCCCTGAAAATCTGATGGCAGTTGGGCGCTCCCCTTGTAGCACGCACGCACGCACCCCTGCAGAACACGGGGATTCACCACGTGCATTTGTCCTGGGCTGCACTGGTGGGGCTGTCCCAGAAAGAAGGTCCCCTTCAGCACTGAGCATTCACTGTATCAAGGGCATATGTTTTTAAGCTGAAAAGTATGGTTACATATGCCCGCCCTCACTTGTAAGCATTCCTCTTCCCGGAGCTCACGGGTCTTACCAGCTGACAATGCATTTCTGGCCTGTGTGGGGGGGGGGGTGTGCGCGCGTTCAGGACTAACATCACTGTCAGCATTAGGAGTATTCCCGCTGACGGTCTCCCTGAACACTCGGCTGACCCAAGAACCTTCCTGTTACTTGCTGATTTCTAGTTTCTAATGTGATCTCAAGCACGGTTAATGACAGAGGTTTTAGAAATGTGTGCTCCCTGTGACGGCTTCTGGGAATGTCATCTAAGCAGGGGAAGTGGAGAAATGATCGAGGACACATATATGTGTGAGAGGCTGGCCATCACGGCAGGCTCCGAGCAGGGAATCACAAGAAGCTACCTCGACGGGGACAATCCACCCGGGCCTACGACCTAACACCGCCTCCACGCACGGGGCTGGGCCACCACCGACACGAGGCTGGGGCGCACATTCGGGAGAGTGGTAATTGAGAAAAACAGGGCCGAGCCAAGCTGCTGTGGCGGACACGTGAGGGCGACGCTGAGCAGGGTCCGCCCGTCTGGGCTCAGCTGGGGGACTCGGTGTGAGCAGCAACCTCGGGCTCTGGCACACACACAAACCCTTATTATCACCGAAAAGGGATCTGGGTTTCACGGGCGCTTGGGTTTCCTCCCAGGCAGGCACCAGCTCCACAGTTTGTGTCCAGAGAAAACACTGGAAAGTCAGATTTCACTCCTTGCTGCTGGAAAGGGCAGGATTTATCGGCTAATATGAACAGGGCCTGTATGTCCTCAGAGTGGAGCGGCCCTTGCCTCACAATGTAGCCATTGAAATGACAGGGTAAATTCAAACCCACAAAGAGCGATATTTCTGGACTGGATTTCAGTGGGAGTGAGATGTGTGCTTGGGGCACCGTGCCCCTGGGGGCACTTGCACCTCTGGGGGCACCGCGTGTCTGGGGGGCACCGTGCCTCTGGGGGGACCACGCGTCCGGGGGCACTGTGTACCTGGGGGGCACCGTGCCTCTGGGAGCACCGCACATCTGGGGCCCTGCGCCTCTGGAGGCACCGCGCGTCTGGGGGGTACTGTGCTCCTGGGGGCACCACGCGTCCAGGGGCACCGCACGTCTGGGGGCCACTGCGCCCCTGGGGGCACAGTGCATCCGGGGGCAACACACGCCTGGGGCACACTGCACCCCTGGGGGCATCGTGCGTCTGGGGGGCACTGCGCCTCTGGAGGCACTGTGCGTCTGGGGGCACCGTGCGTCTGGGGGGCACTGTGCCGCTGGGGGCACCGCGCGTCTGGGGGGCACTGCGCCTCTGGGGGCACCGTGCTTCCAGGGGCACCATGTGTCCGGGGCCACCATGCGTCTGGGGGCACTGCGCCTCTGGGGGCACCACGTGTCCGGGGGCACCGTGCGTCTGGGGGCACTGAGCGTCCGGGGGCACCGTGTGTCTGGGTGCACCACACATCCGGGGGCACAATGTGTCTGGGGGCACCAGGGATTTCGGGGCACCGTGCCTCTGCAGACACCACAAGCCACCCCAGCGCCAGCAGGTTCCCACTAGCCTTGCTGTGCCCGCCATCCCAGCCTCCTGTGGGCCGGTCCCCTGGTGGCTCTTCCACCTCCTGGGGACCAGATGAGACCGGGCTTCCCGCTCACAGGTTGGGAGACCATTAGCACGCCTGAACCTCGGTTTTATCACCTGTAAAGTACGAGTGGTGACAAATGCCCCCTGGGTTACTCCAGAGGATTGAGGGAGAAAAGACAAATCTGCAGAGCACTTCCCGGAGACCCAGGGCACGCAAAGCACGGTGGCCGTGGCCACCCGCCTTTATAGGGGACGAGGCGCTCAGTGAGACTGCGCCAGTCTTGCTTTTAGGACTGGTCCCGTCCACCCCCACGGTTTCTGTTAGAGACGGACAGTGAGCTCACTTTACTTCTGCCGCCGCCACCAAAACGTCAGTACGGGGCAGACAGAGCTGCGCACCCTCAGCTGGGGCTGGTTTCCCGGCCGAGCCTCCCACCCCCAGACCTTCCGGCGCCCCCGGCAGCGCAGACGCCCCACGTACCTGGCCGAGACGTTGGTGAAGTGCATGTAGGATGATATGACCACGCCGATGCGTCCCTTTCCGCCCTGCAGGAGACAAAAGAGGGACTCAGTTTCTCTCGACAACCATGGCAGAGGTGGAAGGCTCATTCACTCGGGATGACAAAGAGCTTGCTTTGCTGGGGAGCCACCCTCAGTTTCCTCTGGTCCTGGTTCCGGGGGATGGCCGTACCCAGCCCAGCAGGCAGCGGGCATGCTGGGAGCCCGCGGCAGGAGCCGGTGCCGCCTGGGGCATCCGTGGGCACCCCGAGGGCAGATCTGCACAGAGGCGGCCAGTCAGCTCACCAGGTCCCACCGGGGCCACAAGAACATGCTGGGGAGGAAGCACTTAGCGTGATTTCACTACAGGTGACAGACCTGAATGCCCGCCTCACGGGCTGAGGGGTCTGAGTGCACGCAGCCCCAGAGAGTCCAGAGGGCATCACACCGCTGCCCCCGCTGACCCAGCCCTGCCCAGCTCCACCGGGACCATGGCCCCGACATGCAGGGCTCAGCCTGCGACCACAGACACACATGGCCCAGATGGGAAGCTGCCAGAACCCCAGGCCAACAGGACCCACAGGAGGGCGTGAGTGGAAGCAACATGGCTGTGACAGGCCACCACACCCAGAGCTGTGGACTGCCACCTTCTGGAACATACTGCCAACACCCAGATCAACGGTCAGCAAACCACAGTCCACAAGCCACTTCTGCCCACCCCGGGCCCTGCAACCTGCGAGCCACGAGTTGTCATGTTTTAGAACAAGGGAAGAAGAATCAAAAGAATCAGAAGAACAGCCTACCGTGACACACGGCAAGCATCGAAAGCTCAACTGTCACAGTCCGCAAATAAAGTCTGACGGGAACACAGCCACGCCTGTCTGTTCAGGCGCATCGGGGGCTAGATCCACAAGCAACGGCAGGTGTGAGCAGTTACAACCAGACCCTGCAGCCCCCAGAGCCCAAAATATTTGCTGTCTGGGTTTTTCACAAAAAGTTAGGCAACCCAGATAGAGGAGCGCACGAAGCCAAAATGGCAGGGCCACCGACGTGCTAGTCCCCATGTCTGTCCTGTAAAACAAACAGCAAATCCAGGCCACAACTCCAAGGGGCCCACGATGGTGTGTGACCGTCACCCAGAGCGCCTGCCTCTCTGTTCCGTGCACGTCAGGCTATGAGCAAACACCTCCTCTGTCATGTCGGGCACACGTGGGGCACACGCGGCTGCCACGCTCAGGCAAGTCCCTGTGTTTCTGGTGACTTCTGAGAGGCTGAACTCAAGCAGGACCATCAGAACCACTGATTGCACCACTTAGCCGAGGGGGTGTCCTTCCCCAGCAACTCAAAACCAAACAGCATGGGGGATGGATGAAGCCTTCCAGAGGAGCTGCAGACTAGGTGCGCTCAGCTAGTCGCCAGCAGGTGGAGGTGAGGGGGCCCGGAGCAAAGCCGCACAAACCCGCCCTGCGCAGTGGACAGACAGGAGGACGGTTCACTATCGTCCATGCCTTTCGTTCATTTCAAAATGTCCAGCTATGCGTTCATTGACCCGAGGCCTGCAAATTCTAGAGCCAAACTCCGGGAGGGTGAGGACAAACACCGGCAGATCTGGACATGGGCATGAAAGGCGGCCCCCGCGGGGCCCCGGCGGCTCCCCCAGCCCCGAGCACGGGGCACACTCACCCTGCAGTGGATGACCACCACGTGCTGGGGGTCGCTGTTCAGCCAGGACTCCTGCGCCTTGCAGATGGTGCACACCTGGTCCAGGGGCGGTGCGTGCAGCTCTGGCCAGCCCACGTCCAGGATCTGCAACGAGAGACGGGCTCTCTACCAAAACCCTGCCGCGAGTTCCTTTCCTAAAGCCTGGTGGGAGTTGTGGCCAGGAGCCTTCACCGGGAAGGAACACGGGGCAGATTATGTTGCCCCCGTGAGACGTCCATCCCCGTCTTATCTGCTCTCCAGCAGCTGGGACGGCTATTCTAGAAAGGGCTTTCGGAGCCGCTAATGGGGCATGGCTCGTGGGGAGGGCCGAGACCGGGCCAGATCTGAAACGGGAGTTCTTGGCCAGAGCTGCTGCCAGAATTCCTCTGCACAGACTGAAATCGCAGCCTGGGAAAATGCAGGGAGCTGTTCCCCATGCACCACACGGATGATGTCTCAGAGAGCGGCCTGCGTGCTTGAAGAAAACACGGAGCGTGCCCACGGGGGAGGAAGCGCCGTGAGCCCGGATTACAGTTCGGAGCAGGAACAGACAGTCCTCCCCACGTGACATGGAACACAGCGCGTCCTTGCAAGGGCAACAGCCTCCCTGAGCAACCTGACACCCTCCACCACCCCCCGTGCTGAAGCCTGCCCAGCGATGCAAAATACGTTCTATTCCACCTTCCTTTTCTTAAGGGGAGAGGCAGAGGTCCCTTCTATAAAAGTAACAGAAATAGTGCAAAATGATGGGAAAACTTCAGAAAAATGCCAGGAAGCTGGAGAATATCGCATACCCCTTCCACCACGTAGGCGTACCAGCTACAACACTGATGAATCCCTCAGATTTTTTTTTCTATGTGTGTAGAGCAGAGCTGAGATGCTATTATCCAGGACCTCTATATCCTGCTTTTGTTACCTAGCATTAAAATAGGCAATTCACCAATGCACCATATATTCTTATTCCAATGGCTGCAGAATATTCCGACATATGGAATGCATATACCATATATACCCTAACTCACACGTATACAGAAGCTTAAAGATTTCCCCTAAATCTTTGCTACGAAAAAGATGAACGCACGGAGGGGAGTATGTGACAGGCAGCAGGAGGGAGATCCTGGAGGTGGAAATGGTCTGTGGAGCCCGCCAACGTCGGCTTCTGGCACTAACACTTTATTACTAGTTAATGCGTGGTGTTACCACTGGAGAAGACTGGGTCTGGGCCTTCGTGGGATCACTCTGTATAATTTTGCAAAGTCCCGTAAATCTATAATTATTTCAAACTAAAGAAATTAATTTAGGGGTGCCTGGAAGGCTCAGTCGTTAGGCATCTGCCTTCAGCTCAGGTCAGGATCCCAGGGTCCTGGGATCAAGCCCGGCATCGGGCTCCCTGCTCGCCAGGAAGCTTGCTTCTCCCTCTCCCACCTCCCCTGCTTGTGTTCCCTCTCTCACTGTCTGTGAAAAAATAAATAAAACCTTTAAAAAAATTTGAAAAAGAAAGAAATTAATTTAAAAATGACCCACAGGGGCACCTGACTGGCTCAGTCAGCAGAGCATACAACTCTTGATCTCGGGGTGGTGAGTTCGAGCCCCATCATGGGTGCAGAGATTTTGCTTAACAATAAAAAATCTTAAAAAAAAAAAAAAAAGCCCACAGGTAAGAACAGTCCCTGATACCCCTTACGAAGTCACATCCCACAGAGACTTGAACTGTTTTTGCAGGAGCAGATATGCCTCAGGGACATTTGACAAAACTCAGAACATAAAGGGTTAACGTCGTACCTTTGGGTTAAGCTTCGTAAGGTCATATCTCTTTTCGGAAAGGTTTAACACCTGTGAAGGGGAAAGAAAAAGCCATCAGACAAGTCCACATCCTCGAAGGGCAAAGAGGAAACGGTGTTCACACTTCACATGCCGTGGGCCTTCCAAGGACCAAGGATTCTGAAAGATTGAAACGTATATAGAAATGTTATTGTCATGGAATGAAACACAAGTAGAACAAATACATAAGGACGGCAGACGGAATTGTGCGGGACCAGCCATCCCTGGGGAAGCCCGGCTTGCTGGGAGGCGGGGATGGGGGCAGCAAGGGCCAGAGCTGGCGGGGACCCCACCATGCTGCAGCAGGCCTGGGAGAGGAGATCAGGCCCCCTCATGGCAGAGACAGCTGAGCACGGGGGCCTGTGCAGGTCTGCTTGGGGTGCGCGGCTCTGCCCTGACCTAGGTCCATAGCTCCTCTAACTGGACCAAGCAAGCTGCTGCACTGTCCCATTTAAGGACCAGGCCCCTGCCTTCCGGGACCCAGCGCCCTCCCGGGTATCTGGGGACAGTGAACGGAGGGCGGACAGAGGGCAGGCGCAGGGACCAGGAGAGAGCTGACCCCTGAGCCAGGCGTCCAGAGGAGGGGGACTGTTCCTGCAGAGCAGACTGCCCCAGGCAGAAGGGTGCCGTTCTGAAGATGCCAGGCCCCCAGAGCAGAAGTCTGGGTTCTGGGCTGGGACACGCTTTCCCTGCCTGCCATCAGGTCATGCTGAGGGCTGGCATCCAGGGAGGCGGCAGGTGCTCAGGGGCCAGGAAAGCGCTGCTCGGGCCGCACTGACCGCTCAGGCTGACACAGGCTGCTGGGGGGGTGCGTGGCCCTCGGCTCCCCGCTCTGCCTCTGAGCCACTCTTGCGGACGGTCATGTAGTGATCCAAAAGGGTGGCAAACACAGTTTGTCAGGCAGGGCAAAGATCAGCAGCTTCAACCGATACGGAGGCCGTGCGGGGGCAGGTGCAGACGAGGCGCGGGGACTGTACTTCAGCGCGTGGTAACACCGGGACAGCCTGGGGCCGCCACTGCGGGAGCACACCGGGCAGCTGGGGGATGCACGGGACACGGGCCCACACTTCTCCCCAAACAGGGGCTCCCTCCGACCACGTCACCCGTGTCCCCAGGGCACAGCGGCTTCCGGGCGCCCACCATCTGTCCTCATGGTTCAGGTCAGCAGGAGGGAAAGGCTGGGCTTTGACACCAGGGATGCCGACCCCACTGGGGCCGACGGGGTCTGTCTGATGCTCAACG